CGCCCCCTCGTCGCCCGGTATCACCCGCCGCATCCACCGCCGGTTAGTGTTTGTTTTGTGATATTTGCGAGCGGTATAGTTGATTGACGCGCCGGTATGCATGTAGATGGAATTGAGCCCGTGCGAGAAGTTCTTACTCTCCGATTCAGACGACTCGGATGTTGAGACCATGCTTGCACCTTTCGGCAGCAGACATTAGTGATGGCACTTGCCGTGAAGGAGCACAAAGAAGAGAACCGAAAGAGGAGGCGGGGATCGTCTGTCGGGCGTCTTTGCATTCGTCGGAATCGCCATCTTGGGAACGAGATGTTGATGCAAGACTACTTCGTGGAGAATCCTACATATCCACCGCACCTCTTCCGAAGAAGGTACCAAATGCACCGATCCCTCTTTCTGAAAATTGTTCAAGCTTGCGAGGCAAATTGCCAGTATTTTACTCAAAGAAGAAATGTGCGGGCTTAAAGGGATTTAGTGCATATCAAAAAAATCTCCGCAACTATGCGGGTGATTGCATATGGCGTTCTGGCTAACTATGTCGATGAGTACCTTCGCATTGGTGAAGATACTACAATTGAGTCAGTGCGTAGATTTGCAAAAGTGATCATCCGTGTCTTTGGTCCTGAGTATCTTCGGGCACCCGACGAGGATGACGCAAAGAAATTGATGGCATCTAATGAGAGGAGAGGTTGGCGTGGCAATGCTAGGCAGCATTGATTGTATGCATTGGACTTGGAAAAATTGCCCGAAGGCATGGCAAGGAATGTATTGTGGCAAGTCTCGTGATGCAACAATTGTGCTAGAGGCCGTAGCATGCGAGGATTTTTGGATTTGGCATTGCTTCTTTGGTATGCCGGGCACTCGCAATGATACCAATGTGTTGCAACGGTCTCATTAGTTTGCTAGGCTTGCTAGTGGTGATGTTCATGCTTGCAACTACACTATCAATGGGCATGAATACACAAAGGGCACTATTTTGCAGATGGTATATACCCTCCTTGGTGCACCTTTGTCAAGAGCATCAAAGATCCCAAAACTAGAAAACATTGTGAATTTGCAAGGGTGCAAGAGGCAGCCCGAAAAGACATTGAAAGAGCATTTGGTGTTTTGCAATCTAGGTTTGCCATTGTCCGTGGTCCTGCTCGTTTTGGGGATAAGAGAACCTTGAAAAATATCATGACATGTTGTGTTATCCTTCACAATATGATTCTTGAAGATGAGAGAGGAATGAACTTGGAATTCTTCTACGACAATGTGGGTACCCGTGTCAAACCAGCTAGAGACTCTAACCGCATTAGAGCTTTTTCTTCAGACGTACAAGGAGATTGAAAATGCAAACACACACTTTCAACTTCAGGAGGATCTCATTGAGTGCCATTGGCAAAGGGCAGGACAGTGACTCATTTTTGTATTCATTTGTATTTGTATTCATGACAAGTTTTGTATTGCATTATTTAAGTTTGCTTCGGTGATTTGAATAATTATTTATAATGTGGATGATTATTGTATTATGTTTGATTTGAATAATTATTTAGTTTGCTTTCGTTTGTTGTATTATATTGGATTTGATATTTGCGGGTTGATGAGATGTGAGATGCAGCGGCGCAAAAAGCAAACCCCGCAAACCTGACCTGTAAAAGGCATATTCTGCGAATATACTTTTGTATGTGTCTGTTTGAGGTGTCTGCATCTATAGCCATCCGCACCGGCCCGCAAAGGTTGTTTTCCGCAAACTGCAAACGCGTTTTGCGGACGGTGGGATGCGAGGTATGGTAGAGTTGCTCTTAGGCATCGTACCCTTTTTTTCCTCGCAAATAGGCAAAGCAGCATACCAGCAACGTGGTTCCTCGCAACTGGACTTATGTTGCAATGGAGTCCAACTCGATCGATGATCAACACGATATTGCAGAAAATTCCTCTTGATCGCAGAACTAAGCATCTTATAATTGACATAAGAAAATTAAAGGACGGGGCACGGGGGTACAAGATTACACGCCCAATGGCAAGCAGAAGGGGGCTTGCACGAATCACAGCAAGGGGCAGGCCATGGCCAGCTATATCTGGCAGCCGCAGCAGCAGAAGAAGCAGGAGAGCGCGAGGCCAAGCACGATGGCTTCCACCACGTACATCACGCGGAACGCGACGGTGTCCAGCAGCGCCGACGCCCAGCTGCCCCTCAGGTTCACGGACAGCCGCTTCCACCGCAGCGATCGCGACAGTCCGGCCAGCCTCGACGCGCTGGCGCCGCCCAGATTCTTCCAGCGCCGCCGCTGCTGCGGTATCAGCCGCCGCAGCCAGCCGCGCCGCGGCTTCTCCGCGACCTCCGAGCCATCGGCAGCGGCCGGGGGCATCGGTGCCGCCTCGGGCGCCCTTCCGTTCTCGGCGCCGACGGACGAGTAGTGCCCCCGCGGCATCATCCTCGAGAGCAAACCCCTGCGGTACCGCGCGCCCGCCGCGGCGGAGCTGGCTGTAGCCTGAGACATGGGCTCCGTCTCGTACGCCGTCTCCGGCGCTATGTCGGTCTTGATGATGCCCATCATAGCCATGGCTGAGCAGGAGAAGACCTAGTATATAGCTAGCCTAGGCGAAGAAGATTCAAGATGGTACGTTGTTGGACGGGACTGGGCGAAGACGTGGGGGGAAGACGTGCGGGGTGCGGTCAGGCGGAGACGGGAGGATATAAAGGAGACCGTTTCGATCTCGGGACTGGACGTGCCGAAACCTACCTATCGCCGTTTCGTGCTTTTTTCAAAGGAAAAAAGGAGATTGTGGCTTGAGCTGCTGGCTGCCGCTTTGTGCGTAAGGCATCCGCCAGACGGACGACTTAACAGCTCAGCTCGTGCTGTAAAGGCCGTTGCCGATGTTATTTGCAACCGCAAGCTCAGCTGGGAAGTTGTGCTGGAGTATATGTGTTGCGCTGGTCCGTTTATTATTGCTCATCGCATGCTGTCACGGATATACTCCTACTGTATTATGCATAATATATGTTGGGCAGTGTTTATGATGCTGTCAGGTTGCAAAACATGGCGAATTTGAACAGAGTGCATGGACTTTCTAGAACGCCAGGGCAGGGGCAGGGGCAGGGCGTATCTGAACTGAAAAGGCCGGCAGCGGCAGGTCACATACAGGGTGGTGGTAGGAGTATATGGTTCTCGACTCTCGAGTGCTGCTGGAGTCCAACTGGCCGTGACAGCCGGGCGTGCAGTGCAGTGCAGGCCTACATTACACTGCACGCTTCCCTGCTACTGCTAGCCTATCGTTGTTGTTTTCTTTCGCTCGCCAACGGCTTGCAAATTCGCCTCTTGTCGGGCAGCGGCCGTTTGGTCAAAAAAGCGCAGGTAGCCTCGAGCGATCATAAACCGTTAGTTAATGCTGGCTGAGATCAAGGTTTGGGACCGGCTGCCCCAGGTGTCTGGCTGTGCTTCTCCCATTTGTCGTCACCTGCGTGCCTGTAAAAGATGCATGTTACGTGGGATAACTTGCTGCAGCGACACCGGACCAACATCTTCACCGATCACCAGTGACTGAAAGTTGGAGTAGCTGGAACCAACCACACCCGCACGAAGCGTATGGCGGTGTACTTACAGCTAACCTGACATCGACTTCCATCTTTTATGGAGGTCAAGTCTACTTTCTACGTGTACGTACGAGATCAGGTGACTCCTGTCCGTCAGGAGCACAATGCATATGCGCGTCGCTATAGGATTGATCTGGCTCCAAGTGAATTATTCTGCTTTTACGCATGTTATAGCATCTATAGCATATCGTCTCGATCCGCAAAATAACTGTTAGTTTATAGTTTTTGATCAAAAAATGACCCCAACAGACAGTGGCGGACCCAGGATTTGCTGACGCCCCAGGCGAGAAACTAAGGGCTAAAAACTACCTCAAAAAAACTCTAGTTTCAAGGCATACAAAAGTCAATCTATGTTGCATAACTAATAAGAAAAACCAAACATCATATTCAATAGCAGCATTTGTTCCATGATGGGTCAACTAATAAAGCAAGACAAATCAAAAGACTATGTAGCATAGATAGATGATACAAAAGATTGATACCAAATCAAATAATTGGTTGATCTGAGCCTCCCATGACTGCATCTTCAATAACAGAAGAAGCTAAACCTTCAATTATCGATTTTGAAATGCAAATCAATGCATAATATAGCAGGTAAACTAGTTAATAATGATGCAAAATGTGAAAACTTATGTCGAGGACGAGGCAAAACGCCTTTACGTGTGTGATAACCTTGAAATACCATAGTTTTCAGCTCTTGATTGCTTAAACAGAAAACAATAATCAGCCGCGATGATCATTGAACCAATAGTCATGAAAGCTTTTACCATTTATCCATTCATAAGCATGATTAGTTGGTTGGCATGGACCCATACTAATGTACTCCCTTCTAGCAAGAATTCTAATGTCTGCATCTAAATCCTCAATTGGTATTCTCTTACCGAGGTCAGATTCAACATCACCGAGTTTGAGTTCAGCTCTAACATTAGGGGTATTATCAGTCGTTTGAGTTGAAGGACCTGTTGTCGTGGTTTCGGTGTTTCGAACTTGAAAAAAAGAATGCAGTGTCTTGCTTCTTTTACTCATCTTGTGTTCCTGTAAAAATTTAGAGAAACAAAATTTTCTCAATGTCAAAATCAGTTTCTACATCTAACAAACAGACAAACTCTGGCATCTAGCAACTAAAATCATCATCAATTAGTGACAATGTGACATCTACAAACAAAAACAGGGCATCAAGCCATCAAGTCATCGGTTTCTACAACTAAAATCACCGACAAATAGTGACAATGTGGCCGGAAGTGAGGACCAAGGAAGTGAGGAATGAGGACTACCTCGCCGGCCGCCGGGCAGCCTGCAGACTGCAGCCTCGTGCCCTAGCCGAGGTCTCTACGCCGCGCCCTCGCCGGACACGACGGGCGGACAGGGCAGGAGCCGCAGAGGCGCAACCAGGGGCGCTGGAACGAAGAGTGGAAGGGGGGAGCCGGGGGGCGTTGCGGGATTGAGCGGACCGGCGACGGCAGTCGGTGGCGGTGGCGGCGGGCGGCGGGCAGCGACCGACGACGGCTTAGGGTTCATCGGGTTGGGGGAAAAGGTCAGCTGCGTCTGCAGCGACACCGGACCAACATCTTCACCGACCACCAGTGAGTGAAAGTTGGAGTAGCTGGAACCAACCACACCCGCACGAAGCGTATGGCGGTGTACGTACAGCTAACCTGACATCGACTTCCATCTTTTATGGAGGTCAAGTCTACTTTCTACGTGTACGTACGAGATCAGGCGACTCCTGTCCGTCAGGAGCACAATGCATATGCGCGTCGCTATATGATCGCTCTGGCTCCAAGTGAATTATTCTGCTTTTACGCATGTTATAGCATATATAGCATATCGTCTCGATTCATAAAATAACCGTCAATTTATAGTTTTCGATAAATAAAAATGACCCCAACAGAAACTTTAAACGTGTCCACCACATAAAAAATTTTGAGGAACACTTCCCTCTCCGACCCACGAAAACACAAGCTCCCCACCCGCCCCGTCGGTGCGCTGTATCCCGTGAAAACGGTTGACGGGAGGGACATCTCAACGCGCGCTCCCCACATCCCCTACTGCAGCCGCCCGCCACCATCGCCGCCAGGCTACCCCTTGCATTTCCGGTCATTTTCATTAGCGGAATCGCATCGCTGGGCCGCACTAGGCCCAGGTCCACTCGCTGGTGCCCTGGATCCGCCGAGTCAAGCCGCCCCCAGGTCGCCGCCGCCACGGATCAACCGCGGCCGAGTCGCCACCCGCCTCGGATTCGCCGAGCCGCCCCCGGTGAGCCCCTTTTTCTGCCCCTTGTAGCTCGAGCGCATGTGAAATTTCGTTGATGCGAGATCGGATGCGGTTTTTTTAGATGGATTTGAACCTTTGCGAGCAATTTTTTCTCGAGGATTCGTCCTCGTCCGACGAATCGGACATGGAATCAATGCTCGAGCGGCATAGGTAGCAGATGGTGGTAGCGGTCCCAGCCATGAAGGAGGCCGAGGATCGAAACCGCAGGAGACAGTGAGGATCGACCTTCGGCCGTCTTTGCATCCCTCACAATCGCCATCTCGGGAACATGTTGTTGATGCAAGACTACTTCGCGGACAATCCTACTGAGGGAGTCCTGGATTAGGGGGTCTCCGGACTGCCGAACTATATCCTTTGGCCGGACTGTCGGACTATGAAGATACAAGATTGAAAACTTCGTCTCGTGTCCGGATGGGACTCTACTTGGCGTGGAAGGCAAGCTAGGCAATACGGATATGTATATCTCCTCCTTTGTAACCGACCTTGTGTAACCCTAGCCCCCTCCGGTGTCTATATAAACCGGAGGGTTTTAGTCCGTAGGACAACAGACAGTCATACCATAGGCTAGCTTCTAGGGTTTAGCCTCTTTGATCTCGTGGTAGATCAACTCTTGTAATACTCATATCATCAAAAACAATCAAGCAGGACGTAGGGGATTACCTCCATCAAGAGGGCCCGAACCTGGGTAAACATCGTGTCCCCTGCCTCCTGTTACCATCAGTCTTAGACGCACAGTTCGGGACCCCCTACCCGAGATCCGCCGGTTTTGACACCGACATTGGTGCTTTCATTGAGAGTTCCACTGTGTCGTCATCATAAGGAGGATGGCTTGCCTCGTTGTCAAGGACAACATCACCTCTGGGGGAGCCCTGGCTGTAGGCCAAACTCTCCGACTAAATGGCTTCGTCATGACCGCCCGCTCGGCCACGGCGCCGACGATGACTTCTCAGGTCATCGAAAATAGCCTCCACATCGGCTCGAAATTTGCTGAGCAGATGGATCCAATGGAGCTCTCCTCTTTGAACGAGCTCTTGGATCGCATCGCCGCTCTGGGAGTCACTACGGACTACGATCGGATCGGGCTTAAACCCGATCAAAGGGAGATTAACTCTCCGCCGGCCACCCATCAGATAGCGGTGGTGGAGGAGCAATGCGGCGATTCTCCCTCTATCCTGAGGACGAACTATGTCCGGATTCCCGAGCTCTCGAGCCGGATACTCGCTCACGAGAGTACACCGCCCTAACCCTGAATCCAGAATCAGGCCGCATACCGAACCCACAGGGCAACATCCCAGAGCCCGAATTTCCAAGATCGAAAACTCCCCTGCCCCGGGATCATAGATTGGGTCAAGGTCCAGACTTAAATCCACCCACCCACCCAGATACAAACAATCTTTCCGACATTAGGCAAGCGCCCCAAGAGATAGTACATCACTATTGGGCCAGATTCCTCCTTGTAATGAACAAGGTCAAGGACTGTCGCGAGGAAGACGCAATTTCGTTCTTTTGCAACAATTGCACGAACAAGGGAGTCCTCAACGTCATAAGTCGCCGTGACATAACACACTTCGCTGACTTGGCGGCCATAGTACGGAAATACTGTGCGATGGAAAGTGCCTGGAAAACCCAAACACAATTTTGGGATAATCCGGCTCTGACAAAACCCCCAGTCCGGACTAAAAGGGTGCACTCTCA